CGTCTGCCTCTCAGACACGCTCGCACTCCAACGCGGCGCCCTTCCTGGGCACAGTCCTGGGTACAATCTCCGCTCTCCGGCTCCGAGCGCTTGCCCGAGTGGGGTTTCTGCAGGCACCTCAGGCTCATCACTGCTTCTGAGTGGAGCTGTGCGAACCCTCCGAGAGAGGGCGTGTCCCCGTTGTGCAGATGGGAATGCCGAGGCGCGGGCACACCGACCGGTCCGGGGCAGCTGGTAAAGGCAGAGCAGGTTCGGCGACTGAGAGGCAGCACCGGAGCAGGTGAGCTGGCCCCCGGCCTCCCTGGAGAGCCGGTGCGTTCTTCCATCCGACCGACCGCAGGGCCCGCTCGCGCCCTCCCAGCGTGGGGTCAGACCCTGTGCCCAGCTGGAGGAAAGACCAATGGCAAAGCCAGCTGCTGCTGCGGGAGCTTCCCCTCCTACAGGGCTTCTCTGGACGGCGTGATCATGGCCTAGAACCGTCCAGTGGCTGCCAGCCCTCCTGGGCACCGGAGACTCAGGCTGGCGTGACTGTGCCCAGAACCAGAAGCTACGAGATGCCCTGGCACAGGAGTCGTGAAAACTAGAGCCTGCCCTTGGCTGTCCCTACGCCGTCAGTACATCACCAGTGCACACGTGAAACGGAAGATCCGGTTCATCAGTGGAATTCCCGGTGAAGACTTGGAATTCCGCTCCTAGCGGGGCCGTGTGGTGGGTGCTGCCGGCACAGCCTTCCCGTGGGGCTGGGTGAGGCCTCCTGGCACGGACTGGCCTCAGGCAGAAAGGGTGCAGACAAGCACACAGGTCGCTCCCTCCCGCGTGGACGCTCATTTCGGGGTCTGTGAATGCCCTGCTGAGGTGCTCTGTTTGCAAAGGGTCTGCAAGCTGCTAACAGTTTGTGGGAGCCTGTGGCCGCCACAGTCCTAACGAATAACGACGACACCCCCCAGACGCAGCCTCTCCGTGTCCAAGCTGCTGCCATTAGGAGCTTCTTCCGGGACCAGGGGCAGAACCCCACTTTGGGGCAGTGGTGTCCGTCCCGCAGGCAGGGGACAGACAGGCTTGGTGCGGTCGTGGGGTGTACTGTGGGGCCCCCCCTCTGTGCCCTGATGCACACCTTACCCTTGGCAGCCTGCAGTCAGCCATCTGGTCAACGTGAGGCCACAGGCGGAATCTGTCGGCTTGAGCATCACAGCCTCTGCCCGGCTGGGGAGGCAGGACGTGCCAGGTGACAGACAGAGGGACCTTGGCAGCCCGTGACACACCACATCCAGCAGGGCCCCTTCCGATAGGGACCACGCCTGTTTCCCCTTCCCAAACGCAGGCTGTCGCCCGGATGGCGGGTCTTTCTCCCCGGGTCTGCTCCGAGCAGCACTGGCTGGGTGTGAGCGTGCAGACCTGACGAGGCGGGGCATCTCCTCTTCACGCCTTCCTCAGGGCCGGCAGGTCCCCTCCACTCCTGACGCCTCGTCAGGGTGACAACCGCGCTCGCTTCCCCGGGCTGCCGTGACGCAGGTGCGGGGGCGTCCCTCGGCCTGTGGCCCCGTCACCCCAGTCTCTGCCCGTGTGTTCGCTTGGCCTCGGTCTCTGAATGTCCAGTGTCCCTGCCCCTTTCTCTTGCAAGGACACCGACTGTGTTAAGGACCCACCAGACAGTTCGGGCTGAGCCCCAGAGCTCTGACGTCATCACAGCTGCAAAGACTCATTTTCCAGCTCAGACCAGGCCCTCAGGTTCAGGGGTCAGGACGCGGTCCTGTCTCTGGGCCATCCTTTCCTTCATCGCACTACGTCGACGCTGTCCTGTGGACAGGACAGGGACTGCGTCCATCGCCCCCACTCTCCGCGCAACCCCAAGGCGGTGTGTCACTCGGTCTGACCAGGAAGGTGCCGAGACGCTCGGGATGAGGCAGGTGGAGCCAGGGGACCGGCGGTTGAGTGGGACCTCACCCCAGGACTGTGGGGCTTCGGGGTCCAGATTCCTGCCCTTGACCATGTGTCCCCTTCCTCCAGCTGGATCCTCGGGGGGCTGGGCTCACATTTCCTGTTTACCTGAGAGCATGGGTCGGTCCTGTCATTCCTTTGGACCTGGAGAATACGTTCATCCCCACACGAGCACCCCATGGGTTATTTGGCTTCAGTAAGTAAACGAAGTGAGAGCCACGGTCCCCTGGGTCGCTTCCCGACTCGGAGGGAGCAGGGGAGCCCGGGCTCCGCGGGGCCTTTCTTGTCCTGCCGCGCCGTGGGGAGGAATTTGTCCCTGCCTCTCGGCCCGTCTCGGCTCCTGCCAGTCAGCAGATGCTCGCGTAGACGCTCACGGGCACAGACCATGCTTCCAGAGTGTTTTCCCTGCCCTTCCCGCGTGGCCAGGACGCCAGCCCGTCCCCCTGGCCTTGCAGAAGCCCCCCTCCCTCTGGTCCTCGGTGTGACCCGCTGACTCGTATCAGGCCTGACACTTCAGGGTGTCAGCCTCCAAGCAAAGGGTGGTCTCAGCTCCCACCAGGGATCAGGCGGAAGGGCTGGCGCCCTGGGCTGATCAGAGCAGCCGACCGTCCACTGTGACCTCACTCCCCCATAGGACACGGGTGCGGACAGGAGCCAGGAGTCCTGGTTCCTCCCTTCGGACCCTTCATCTTCCCCCTCAAGGACTGCAGAGTGTCTGTCTGTCTGTCTCTCTTCTCTCTCTGCATAGAATCCATTCAACAAACAGAGAGAAGCTTTCACATTTTAGAACCATGATCAGAGAGAGAACGTAGGGTCAAGGACTTGAAAACCTCATGGAAGGCATCGTGGGCTCTCGCCATCCTAGGGATCCTGGGGGATTTATTTGGGGGAAGCCACAGGCCTTTTCTGCAGTCTCTGTAATTATCTCAGCTGATATGCAGAGGTAGCTCTCTTACGCCGGCTCAGAAAAGCAGGAAACGCCCACACGCCTTCTGTTAGTCTCAGCGTGTTGATTCAGCCACGGTCCGCCGTGCCCAGTGTGTGGTCAGGCCGAGGGGGCCGCCGGTGGGCGGCCTCTGGACTGGCCGGGACCCCTAGGGTTCCCACGCTGGGCTGTCTCCTGTGAGGTCCCAGTTTTCTTGTTGACTGTGGATGAAAGAGCTGACATCTTCTGGGTCCAAGTGTGAAATGGTGGCAGGGAGACAGAACAGACCCGAGGTGGATGGGACTGCAGGGGGAGCCTCGGCTCCCCATCGCCATGACCTCCTCAAGAGAACAGGCACCTGTGGGGTGGACCCGCTCAGGCCACAGCTGGCAAATGATGAACTAATAGGATGAACATGTGACTGTTCAGAGGTGAGGGTGCCCGGGACCAGGGTAGTCAGTGCAGGTGGAGAATGAAGGAGGATGTCCCTCCAGAAGGAAGAAGCATGGGAATCATCTACTCATCCTTCCCTCCATCCCTCCATCCACCCACCCACCCATCCATCCATCCCTCCCTCCATCCATCCACACACCAATCCATCCATCCCTCCATCCATCCACCCACCCATCCATCCATCCATCCCTCCCTCCCTCCTCCTTCCATCCATCCATCCATCCATCCACACATCCATCCATCCATCCATCCACACACCCACACACCAATCCATCCATCCCTCCCTTCATCCATCTATCCATCCATCCATCCATCCATCCATCCACACACCCACACACCAATCCATCCATCCCTCCCTTCATCCATCTATCCATCCATCCATCCATCCATCCATCCATCCATCCATCCACACACCCATACGCCAATCCATCCATCCCTCCCTTCATCCATCTATCCATCCATCCATCCATCCATCCATCCATCCACACACCCACACGCCAATCCATCCATCCCTCCCTTCATCCATCTATCCATCCCTCCCTCCATCCATCCATCCCTCCATCCACCCACCCATCCATCCATCCATCCATCCATCCATCCATCCATTCCTCCCTCCTCCTTCCATCCATCCATCCATCCATCCATCCATCCATCCACACACCAACCCATCCATCCATCCATCCATCCATCCATCCATCCATCCATCCATCCATCCATCCACACACCCAAACACCAATCCATCCCTCCCTCCCTTCATCCATCTATCCATCCATCCATCCATCCATCCACACACCCACACACCAATCCATCCATCCATCCATCCATCCATCCATCCATCCATCCCTCCATCCACGCACCCATCCATCCATCCATCCATCCATCCATCCATCCCTCCATCCACGCATCCATCCATCCATCCATCCATCCATCCATCCACACACCCACACACCAATCCATCCATCCCTCCCTCCCTTCATCCATCTATCCATCCATCCATCCATCCATCCATCCACCCACCCACCCATCCACACACCAATCCATCCATCCATCCCTCCCTCCCTCCACCCACCCATCCACCCACCCTCCCTCCCTCCACCCACCCACCCATCCACCCACCCACCCATCCACACACCCACCCATCCACCCACCCACCCATCCACACACCCATCTGCCCAATGTGTGCTGGCCGTTGTGTGGGGCGCTGCAGGTATTGACCTGAACAGACAGCAGAGCCCCTGGGGCTCCCAGCTGAGGAAGGGGTTGTGCCTAAGTGGCCTCATGTGAGGGGAGGTACCCAGGAGAACATTTCTCAGAGGCCCCGCCTTTCCGGGTGACAGCAGGGTGCTCGGAGGGAGACGCATATGCCAGGCCAGAGCATGCGGGAGCGGGTGGTGCCGACGGGAAGTAGGCAGAGGGGTGGGCTGCGGTGGGCAGGGCGTGAGAGGTGGCCGGAGTGGAGCCTTGGGAGCCCCACAGGGCAGGTGCAGGGAGACTGGTCAGGGGTCGTGTGCCTGGGTTTGCTGAGCCGTGGGCAGTGTGGACACGCACTCAAAATGACCACGCGTGTGCAGTCCGAGAGGCGGTGGCCGGCTGCGGCGTGGCTCCCACACTTGCCTGCTCTCCCCCAATCTGGGCGTAGACGCTGGTCCGCCACCCCCTGCTGAGGCCTCAGGGACATCTCAGCATGCCGAGGGCCCCCGTGGGCGCGTGCCCGTCTCTGCACCTGGAGGCCAGCGGAGTGCCCACCCCAGGGCCTGGCAGCTCCAGCGCGGAGCAGCCTACCTGGCACGTTAGCGTTGGTAGGCTGATCGATCCAATGGAAAGGACAGAATGGGAGAGGGGAGAAGAGCGAGGTGGGGGAGAGAGACAGAGAGGGACAGAGATCCAGTCCCGAGGTGGGTGCGGGGTGCGACGGGGGAGAAATTTAAATATAATGGGCCACATCCAAACAGACTGATTTAGGGAAAACACTCAGGGCTTAGCTTCTCCTTAGAAAACAAGTGATTAGCATGAACACAGAATTCTGCAGAGACAAAGGGCTCTAGTTGGCTGTTTTCCTCATTGTTTCCTCGTCTGTGGAGACCATCCTCAAACTCACAGCGTTAGCTCACAAAATACCGGGGACGTCCCTAAGAACATCACTTCCCTTCCACAGATGGGGAAACCGAGGCAGGAAGGCAGGGGTGGGCTGCCCCGCCCTGCCGGTGCCTGGGCCCCGAGGAGCCCCGCTCAGTGTGAACACCCAGCAAATCTGCACCCACCGATCGGATGGATGCAGGACTTGCCTGGTGCTCAGACCTGCAGGGGCTCGGGGGGCTGGGGCCTCTCCCTGTCACTCTGTCTGTGGGGCTCCAGGTCAAGCAGGCTCAGGTCTGGGACACTCATTCTCCACGGAGGAAAGAGAGACACAGTGCACTCTTCCCAAAGAGGTGTCAGACGCAATTACCACGAACCAGGACCGCGCGCCCGGTATGAATCCTGCTGATTAAGGCGGTTACTTCAGCAGAGCGCTGCCTGATTAACAACAGAGCAAGCAATTTGTCACCACTGAAACAGTTCCTCTCGGAACCGATGGCAGGGACGGTGCGCTTGGCACAGCCCGCCCCACAGCCAGGCCAAGGCCGTACCCTGAGGCCCAGGCGCACGTCCTAGGTGCATGGTGGAGGCGCTCCTGGTGGGTTTTGCCCACGGCAGGGTGGGCACCAGGCCCTCCAGTGCCCGTGACCGGGGGGCAGCCCAGGGGGCAGCACTCTCCACTCCCTCCCACAGAACCCCTGGAAGTCAGCACCAGGATTACCGGGCTTCCACATGGCTCCCCCAAACCTTCCTGCAGGGGTCCTGTGCCCCTCTTCACCTGGCACATCAGCGAGACCAGCTCGCCGGGCAGTGGTGCACCTGACGACCTTCTTTCGCGTGAGCTTTGGTACAGGGTTTGTCCGGATGCTGTCGTGAGCCCCTGGCAATTCCTGCCTGTCTCCAAGTTACCGTTTTCTTCCTTCCCCTCCCTGGATGTGGGGGTATCAGCGGACTCAGGAGGAGCCCCGGAGAACCCTGCCCTCCTGCCCCATTGTGCTTGCTCTCAGTACCCGTGCAGACCTCATACCCTCAAGTGTAAAGGACTGAGCCCCTGGCCGGTTTGGCTCAGCGGTTAGAGCGTCGGCCTGCGGTCTAGAGAGACCCGGGTTCGGTTCCCGCTAAGGGCATGTACCTCGGTTGTAGTTTGTCCCCGGCCCTGGTTGGTTGTGGGGGTGGCAGCCACTCCATGTGTCCCTTTCATGTGGATGTTTCTCTCTCTCTCTTCCTTTCTCTCCCTCCCACTCTATCTGAATAAAAAAAATGGAAAAATGTTCTCGGGTGAGGATAAAGAAAATAAAATACAGGACTGAGGACAGTGACGTGTTTTTTTGTCAGGGAGAGGCTGCTTGGGGACCTCCGGGGCCCCCAGGTCCCCTTACGTGGGCTGGGTCCTGATGTGTTAGGTCGGGCCGTCCCCCTCCCTCCTTAGGCTACGGGAAGTCTGTCCATCACAGGCTCAGAAGGACCCTCAAGGTCACCTTCCCTCCGCTGGTGCCTGGTTGGCTGCTGCAGGGACCCTCCCCCAGCCGCCGATGTCCTTGTCTGCATGATGCTCCCGGTCCTGCACCAGTGGGTCCCCCCAGGCTCCGAACCGCTGAGGTCCTTCTGAAAGTTCTCCTTCATCACTCTCCCTCCCCCCCCCCCCGAGCTCGGAAACTACTGAGCCTCCCTGCCTCAGTTTACCTTCTAATGTGGACCCACGATGCTTCAGCCACACAGACCCCTCTGAGCAGTCACCCCCAGGAAGGAACTCATCACCCCAGCTTTTCCGGAGGGGTGGGCTGGGCTCCCGCAGGTCAGAGAGGAGCGCTCCGGCAGGGTGGGCAGGGACCCTTCGCCGAGCCCCCTCTCAGTGCTGGACCAGCAGCTGCTCTGCCTGAGCTCCTGGGCCGGCCCCAGACTTCTCAGTGTCCCTCAGTGTGGCTGGGCCCTCTGAACTCTGCCAGCACCTCCCCACTGTCGCACCCCCTTGATGAGGTGGGCACGTGACTGCCACAGGAGACGGTGCCCAGGGACACGAGGGACCCGCCCAAGCCGGACAGTGCGTGAGCCAGTGATCTGACCCAACGCTTCCCCTGGCCAGGCGGCCCTTCCCCGCGGTGCCTCGCCTCCCCCTCCGCCAACCTCACGCCCCTGCCTCTGCGAATCCTAGCAACACCCAGAGCCGTGGCAGCCGCACCGCGTTCCCTGCCTCTACTCGCCATCCTCCTCGGCTGGCTTGAAAACGCCTGGCACGCGGACCGAGTTCCATAAATATCAACATAACAATAGCAACACAACCAAAATAGACGTTTCCCGTGAGGCTACAGGGACGTCGTGGATGGGTGCTTTGGAAGCTGGGGACATTCATCCTTCCAAGTCCACTTTTCAGGGACGAGACCATCAATAGTGAGCTGTCCCACCAGGGAGGGGCCGAGCCCGAGATGCTCAGCAGGTCCCCGGGGAGCAGCGCGTATTTCTCAGCCTCAGAGACGGCGGGACAGTTTGCAAAACCCAGCACCTGGGAGGAAGCGCAGCCGCTCCCTCTGTGCCTGCCTTTCTCCTGCGCGGAGGGTAGCAGCCGGGCCTGGGAGGTACCCGCTGAGCCTCCTGAAGCCCTCGGCCACGTGCCTGCCGGGGCGCGGCGCTCCCTGCGCGTGGGCGCCGTGTGTAGGCCACTCCGCGCGTTCCGACACGCGCGCTTCTCAGGCCTGTTTCCCACAAATGTGCGTTTCGGCAGCGGCTCTGGTCTTTCCACGTGATTCCTGAGAACTGGCGCAGGAGCGTCTCGGCCTGACGACCTGAGCGCAGCCGTGGTCTGGGAGGAGCCGGCACCGTGGTGCCCGGGTCGATGGGCGCGAGGCTGTGCACTGGACCCGTTCTGAAGGCTCACCTGTGGCACCAGGCCTGCCCGCTGCACCCCTGCCCTCGAGTCTGTATCCTGGTTCAACAGGGACATAAGGTCGGATTCAACCAGGTGTGACAGGCACAGGGGGCACCCCTCGGCTCTCACCCCGATGCCCCCCAGGGAGCTTCTGAACCGTGGTTGTTGCTGGGCCTGCTCCCCCAAGGTGCCGGGTAGTGGGCCTGCCGAGGGGCCTGCGCGTCAGCATTTGTACCTGCCCTCACCACCAGCCGGGTGAGGCTCCCCGAGGCGCCGACTGAGAACCTCTGCCCGGGTTGCAGACCTGACTTTGCCTTTCCAGGCCCTTCTGAGTGTGTTGCTCTGGGGAGACTGGTCAGGGAGGTTACTGGGCAACAGATTCTCGTCCAGCTCCCACGAATGCGGGGCTTTGCCAAGTCTGAGCCTTTGCCCAGAGGGCAGTGGAGAGGAGACAGGGCTTGCCCTGGGAGAGGTCCCCTCTCAGACTTTGGTCCCCATCTGCAGAAGAAGCACGGGAGGCATGGCCCAGGGCATCCGGCAGGGCAACTGCCCGGCCGTGGGGCAGCTGTTGGTCCCGTCTTGGGCACTGCCCAGAGAGGGCACAGACATCATGTAGAAGGGACAGTAACTGGGCCAAGGGCACTTCCCGGGGCCCGGGGTGGCCTGGCCGCTGTCCCGCTGCAGCAGGTGACCTCGCGTCAGACACAGAAGCTTGCCCGACTTCCACTCCCAGGGAGAGAACATTCCCGCCCACAGGGCTCCCCACCCTCTGCTTGTCACCACCTCACTCCTCCAGAATGCTCGCGGGCACGTTGCCAGGCAACCAGACGCCAGCGCCAGCGGGTTGCTATCCTTCGGTCTCCTCCCAGCCCCCGAAGCCCTGGAGCAGGCCCCGTGCCTCCGGTGCTGCAGAAGCCGCGGCTGCCGCGCCTCGTTCCCTGCCTCTACTCCCAGGGAAGGAGATGGCCCCGTGGCAGCCGCAGCGCCGAGGCCAGAGGGGAGTGGAGGGGTCACAGGACGCTAGTGCAGGCTCACGAGGAGCCACGCTTCACCGTGGAGTCCCCGTGACACCCCGTGGTGTGGGTACTCGCGTTCACCCCATTTTACAAGTGGGGAGACCGAGGCACTGGGAGGCTGTGTGGACTGCCCAAGCTCCCATCACCCTAGGACGGGAAGTCAGGCAGCTGGCCCGAGCCCCTGAGCGACCACCGCGCCGCACTCTCTGGGTCCGTCACCTCCGAGCTCCTTTCTCTTGGAGATAAAGGTGGTCGCGCCCACCTTGCCAGGCCCTGGGAGGAGCAGTTCGGACGTCGGGGGGGTTTCCCGAGCACAGCCCTGTGGACACGCGGGGCTGGATAGGCCATGGTGGGGGCCGTCCTGTGCACTGTGGGATGTTTGCAGAGTCCCTGGCCCACAGCAACGCCCCCCCTTCCGCAGCCCCCTACAACCAGACATCTCTGCAGACCTTGCTCAGTGCCCCCCGGAACAATCAGCCCAGGTGAGAAGCTCTGCAGGGGCACAAGGGGGCACTGATGCCCGGGTACTGCCGCTGTACAGGTGGGGAGGGGGTATGGACAAGGGCCTGCCAGGTCTCAGCCCATCCCCAGGTGTGGCCACTGTGTGCCTTGTCCAGGGAGTGGAGCCGCCCCCGTTATGAGTTTAGGGAGGCTTCGTTTCTGCTCTTCTTTTCTGCCATGTCCCTGGCCCCCAGGTCTAGGACTATAGGTCCCTATCCTCAGCATCGAGACTTAAATCCTTGAATCGTAGGTTTTGGTCCAGGTCTGATGCCAGTTCTCTGTGCCCTGAGCCAGGCTCCTTCCTTTGTGGGTCCCAGGTCCGCGTCATCCGGGACAGGAAGCATCTGGACCTGGGTCATGATGGGAGGGTGCTCCCAGGTCCCTGGGCCCCAGGCGAAGGGAGGTCTCGGTGAACGCCCTAGACGCATGCACGTCTGAGCAGACCCCAGGGCCCGCCCCCTCTGGTGTGGAGGATGGAAACGGGGTTAGCAGAGTGAAGGCGACTTCTCCGTCACACAGAACTGCTCCCACGGCGGCTTGTCCCCTGCGCAGCTGCTGGCGAGCCCAGGACCAGACACTGAGGGCGGGGCTTGTCCACAGTCTTTTGGTGCTGGGGTTGTAGTGGGACGCTCGTTACTGACCCCCGCAGGGCTGGGACTCACCTCTGAGGCCCTGCGTCCCCCTGGAGATTCAGGATGGCCTCAGGGCTCCCGTGCGAGCTCGGCCCAGCCCTGATCCTCGCCACCCCGGAGCTCTGGCAAGTGGGTGCAGCTGCCCCCGGAGGGGAACGTGTCCCCTTCAACGGACGAGATGTCTCTGTCTCCCCTAATTGACAGCAATTTTCTTTTGGGAAGAAAATATAGAGAAGGCATCAAATTTTGAATCTCAGCTCACCGAATCTTATTAAACTGTCCTTGGGAAAAAAAAAATTTCAATAAAAATTTGAAGGGAGAGAAGCAAGAAGAAGGTGCAGACTAGAAAATAAGGTGAGAGGGAGCAGCAGCCCTCCCGGCGGGAGCAAGCAGTGGGGGCTGGGGAGCCCGGTCTCCGGGAAGCCCGGGCTGGGACCCCGCGGGGGGGCACACAGCCCTGGCCTCCTCGGGGTCAGCACCTGGGGGGCTGGGAGCTCACGCAAGCCGAGGCGCCCTGAGGGGGCTGCGTGGGCGAATGTGCCCCAGCTGCATGCCCACAGCTCAGAGGGGCCGGCGCTGGGCGTCCTGCGCAGGGCACCCCAGGTCGGGCTCCCCGTGACCTCTGCACACATCATCTACAGATATAATGTGCTTTTTGAGATATAACTCACATACCTTTTAAACGTGTGCCAGTGCATGGTTTTAATGTATTCACAAAGTCGTGCAACCACCCGCCCTGTGAATCCCAGAACAGTTACCACCCCTGAAGACATTCCCGATTCCTTCCTGGCCCCAGCCCCCGGCCACCTCTGCTCCACTTCCTATCCCTGTGGATTGACAGGTCGTAGGACCCGCCTCCGCCCGCTCACAGGCCCTACGGTGGGACGGACCCTTCTCTCTGCCGGCGGGCGCTGGGTGGTTCTGCTCTCTGCTCCCAGGGACCTGGGCTGCGAGCGCCCACCGACGCACCTTTGTGCACCCCGGAGTGGAGTCGCTGGGTCGGCTGGTCACTGTCTCGGAGGAGCCACCAACTGTCTTCGGTAGCGGCTGCCACATTCTCTGTTCCACCTGCCACGGGCGAGAGTTGCCACGCCCCGTGGAAGTGCTTGTCTTTCCGCCTGTAGCCAACGCGTGGGTGTGGAGTGGGGGCATGTTCTGAGGGGTCTGTGCGTGCCCAGAGTTGGGGGAGCTGGCGCCGTCTGCACCGAGGCCCGGCCTGTCTGCTGTGTCGCATGCTGGCTCTGGCGGTCAGTGATGTCCTGGTCACAGCCTCGGGGCCTCCCTGAGGATGGGGTCCTCTGCCCTCCCGAGGAATGGCCTACTGTGCCAGGTGCCGTCCTGGGTGTGGGGGCTGCTGGCCACCCTGCAAGGACCTCCGCATCAGGAGACGGGTGTGCGGCGGGGTTCTCCCAGGCTGGTGCTGAGCAGGGTCCGCGGGGAGCGCGTTCCTGGGGTCCTGCCTGCTTTTGGGGCCAGCTGGAGGCATCAGGACAGAGGTCACGTCCTCCCCACCTGGCCTGGCAGATGTGGTCCATACCCTTGTGCCATGGGGCAGCCCCAGCCCAGGGAGTCCCCCTCCCGAATCTCAGGACCAGGAAGGTGCAGATTGCAGATGTAGGCCCGGGTCCTGGCCACAGAGCAGGGGGCTCGGGCCTGCGACCTCGGGGAGAACAGCGGTGCCGAGCGCGGCCTCGGCCCTCCCCGGGGGACGGGCTCTCTGCCCGGCCTGGCCGTCCTGGCTGCTGATGTGGGGTGCAGCCTCTGTCCTGACGTGCCCCCTGCCCTCCTGACCCCTGAGCAGAGTGGCCACTTTAGGAAGGATGACACTGGACTTGAGGAGGAAAACAAACCAAGCTCCCCAGCCCTTGCCATTGGCTGGCTCCTCTGCACAACAGTTGGGTGGCTTGGAAAGGAGGGGTTTCTATGGTAACCAATTACAGCTCATGATTGGTGGGGACACGACAGAAATATCCGGCGTGTGAAGTTATGAGGGGCAGGCAGGCAGGCTCGGGCTCAGGGCTGCCGTTTAATTTCCTGGGGCGATATTTCTCCGAGTGCTGACAGTCTGCAGCTCTGCGTGGCTGCTCTTACTCAGCCTGGGGCCTGGGGCCTGGGGCTTGGGGGCCTGGGGACTTGGGGGCCTGGGGGACCTGGGGTGGGCTTTGGGGGCTGGGTGACCTGGGGGGGTCTGGGCTGGGGGGGGCCTGGCGGAGCCTGGGGCCTGGGGCCTAGGGGGGCCTGGGGACCTGGGGGCCTGGGGGTTGGGGCTTGGGGGCCTGGGATGGGGGGCCTGGGGACCTGGGGACCTGGGGGCTTGGGGGCCTGGGGGGCTTGGGGACCTGGGGACCTGGGGGGCTTGGGGGGCCTGGGGACCTGGGGGCCTGGGGGCTTGGGGGCCTGGGGGCCTGGGCCTTGGGGGGCCTGGGGACCTGGGCCTTGGGGGACCTGGGGACCGGGGGGATTGGGGGGCCTGGGGACCTGGGGGGGCCTGCTGATACCTGCTGAGGCTTGGGGGGCCTAAAGGGCGTGGGGGGGCCTGTTGATGCCTGCTGATGTCTGGTGAGGCCTGGGGGGCCTGGGGGGCCTGGGGTGTCTGGGAGGCCTGGGGTTGCCAGTGGTACTCTTGGGGCTGAGGCACCACAGGTGCTGGAAGCAGCACCTCGTTCTCCGAGGGCCAGACCCCCGCCCGAATGCAGGGCGGGAGAAAGAGCCTAAACCACTGGTCCTCCTGCAGACCCTGCAGCGGCGAAGGAGCTGCCCCGGCCTGCGGGGCGTCTCGCCCTGACCCGGGTGCCCCCCTGCAGCAGGCCGCTCCTCACCTGGTCCTGCTGGCTGTGCTGGACCCACTGAGCAGAGCTGGGGCGACCCTTTGCACAGCGGGGGTTTAACTGCTAAAGCAAATGCGCCACCCAGGGGATCGGCCTTGTTACTGGGGTTAGTCCTCCATCGGGGACCAGCCTTGTTACTGGGGTTAGTCCTCCATCGGGGACCAGCCTTGTTACTGGGGTTAGTCCTCCATCGGGGACCAGCCTTGTTACTGGGGTTAGTCCTCCATCGGGGACCAGCCTTGTTACTGGGGTTAGTCCTCCATCGGGGACCAGCCTTGTTACTGGGGTTAGTCCTCCATCGGGGACGCCCCGCAGGCCGGGGCAGCTCCTTCGCAGCCGCAGGGTCTCCAGGAGGACCAGTGGTTTAGGCTCTTTCTCCCGCCCTGCATTCGGGCGGGTGTCTGGCCCTCGGAGGACAAGGTGCTGCTTGTTTTCGGGGGTTAGTCCTTCATCGGGGACCAGCCTTGTTTTCGGGGGTAGTCCTTCCATCCGGGACCGGCCTTGTATCGGGGGTAGTCCTCTTCGGTGATCAGTGCTCATGGACACAGGTGCTTCTCTGAGCATCCGTGGGCCTGTGGGGACCAGCACTTTCCCAGGAGTCAGGACGGAAAGGCCAGCCTAGTGGGGTCAGTGTGTACCTGGGAGGGGAACACACATGGCCCCCTCACACCCACACACTCACACCCACACACTCACACTCACTCCACGTACTGACACACACATAACTTCACACACAGATACACACACAGATACACACTCACACCCACGTACTGACACACACAGATACACACACCCACACACTCACACACATGTACTGACATAAACACCTTCACACACAGATACACACTCATTCCCACACCTTCACTGATACACACGTACTCACACACATAGCCACCTTCACACAGATACACACACCAACACTCACATGTACTGACATATACATGTTCACACCCATACACACACAGATACACACTCACACCCACACATTCATTTCCACACACTCACTGATACACATATACTCACACACATGGGCACCTTCACACACACACCAACACTCACATGTACTGATACACAGAGACACTCACTAGCACACTCACTGATATTCTCACCTCACATACAGATACAGTCACACACGAACACACACACTGGAACAGCCACACCTGCTTGTACACTCAGTTTCCCACTCTAACAGGTACACTCATGCAGACACACGTCAACACTGCCTCACACTCACACCAACACCTGAGATACTCCTGGGCACACAGTACTGGACACGCACTTGCGGGCACGCCCTCCCGGGCACGCATTCACAGGCACGCACTCCCGGGCACGCACTCTCTCAGCGATGCACGCACAGTGATGCACACACCCGTGGGCACGCACTCACGGACACGCACTCGCACAGTGACGCACGCACTCGCGGGCACGCACTCACGGGCACGCACTCGCGGGCACGTACTTGCGGGCACACATTTGCACAGTGATGCACGCACTCTTGGGCACGCACTCGCAGGCATGCCCTCCCGGGCACGCACTCTCTCAGTGATGCACGCACTCGTGGGCACGCACTCACGGACACGCACTCGCATAGTGATGCACGCACTCGCGGGCACGCACTCGCGGGCACACATTTGCACAGTGACGCACGCACGCACTCTTGGCTCGGTTGCCCGGCAGAGCCGCGCCGCCCCTGGGACGGAGCAGCCGCCTGGCGCTGGCTCGGCTGGCTCTGAGCAGCCGCCTGGCTGGCGCAGCACGCACCGAACACCCTCGCCTGCCCCCGCCCACGGCCCTCACTTAGCTCTGGATGCCTGTCAACTCTCCCACCTGACTTTGGTGACGGTGCTGACTTTGAATGCCGCCTGGAACCAGTTCTCAGTCATCTAAGCTGGCGGGACAGGGCGCGTGGGCCGGGTCCCCACACCCTTCCGCGTGGCTGTCCCCGAGCTCTGGGTCTCACGTGACACTCCGTGAGTGCACCTGGGAGCTCCTGTCACACAGGGTGGCCGGCCACCTGCCAGGCTCCGTGGGGCTGGCCCTTCCCCCGCCTCCTGGAGCTGGGGGCCAAGAGGCATTTCAAGGGCACCCTCACGAGGTAAACAGATGCTCAGGCCGCCTGGGCAGAGCGGGCACCACAGACTCTCTGCGGGTCCACAGCAGGTCCCTTTGCCTGGGCGAGGTCCAGAGGTGGCCCACACTAAGCAGCGTTGTCCAGTCAGACACCGAGGCCGGGGCTTTGAAACACGCACCTTAGACCCAGGCGTGCGGGGGAGGGGCGGCGCCAGCGGTCACCTAGCACAGGTGGGGCAGGCTCAGGACACGCCTGGCCTGGCCCCACGCGAAGTCCGGTGGCCCATCCGCACTGAGAGCGGACGCCGGTCCCTCCAGACCTCAGCAGAGGCGGCTGCGTGCTGAGGGTCGTGGGCCTTGGGTGGGTGACCCCTGTGACCTAGAGAAAAGTGTCCCCCGGGCGGCCCTGCGGTTCCTTCACCTCCTGTCCCTGCTGCCTGTTTTATTCTGGGCGTTTGTAGCAAAGTGCGAACTTTGTCAGCTGACAGCAGGGGACTTGGGACTCGGTGTCCACTGGGCAGTGGACGGTGGTCATGGACCCACCCTGGGCACGTCCAGCTCCTTGGAGGGGGGTGACAGTGACATGCAGGCCGGGCACCAGCTTTATGAACTCGTGCATCCGGGACTATTTTAAAAAGCTGATTAATAGGTCACACTGAATAGGCCTTTGAAGTGAACTAATGAGGGGGTTCGGCTTCCCTTTTGAAGCTCGGATGAGCGCTCATCACTGCGCAGAGCGGTTCCCCGCCACGGTGGGGGCGCAGCGCCCGCAGAGCCCCGCCCTGACCTGCCTCTCTCTCTCCCCCCAGCTCCACGTCCATCTGCTGGCCGGGCTGCCCCCTCGGAAGCCATGCTTGGATACTGATAGCCATCGTGCAGCTCGCCCTGGACCTGCCCGCGTGCGAGGCGCTGGGCCCCGGCCCCGAGTTCCGGCTGCTGCCGCGACCCTCGCCCCGGCCACCCCGCTTGTGGAGTTTCAAGAGTGGACAGCCCGCCCGGGTCCCGGCGCCCATGTGGAGCCCCCGCCCGGCCCGCGTGGAGCGCGGCCACGGACAGATGCAGAGTCCCCGTGCCAAACGGCTGCACAGACCCAGGGACCAGGTGGCCGCCCTGGTGCCCAAAGGGGGGCTCGCCAAGCCCCCAGCTGCTGCCAAATCCGGACCTTCCCTGGGCTCCTCCTCAGCCTCCTTGTCCCCTGCGGTGGGCAGCGGGGTTGCCACGGACCAGCAGGCCCTCCTGAGGAGGGGGAAGAGGCAGCTGCAGGCGGCCAGTTTCAACAGCTTTGATTTCCGAGGCAGCAGACCCACCACGGAGACGGAGTTCATCGCGTGGGGGCCCACGGGGGAGGAGGAGGCCCTGGAGTCCAACACATTTCCCGACCGCCCCACCACGGTCTCCAGCTTCCACACGTGGAAGACAACTGTGGCCACAGCCACCACCACGACCACGGCCACCACGGCCACCTCCATGACGCTGCAGACTAAGGGGGTCACCGTGCCCCTGGACCCCAGGAATAGGATCGCGGTTGGGCTTAGCACAACGGAGCCTTCCATCAGCCCCAGCAGAGACAGTGGCAAGGACACCAAGCCCCCGCGGATTCTGGGGGAGACCTCAGGTATGCCCTCTCTTTTCCGGTTGGGGTGAGGGGTGCTGAGCTGTGCCTGGGTTTCCCAGTGACAGGACCTAACACAAAGGTGAGGGCCAGGGGTGGGGCTCAGGACCTCTGGGAGGACGGGCGCCCGTGGTGGTGACTTGCCCACGCGATGTACTGGCAAAGGGTTGTGCTGGGGAGGGCGGAGCCAGGCCGGTGGAAGGGAAAGGCCTAGAGGGGTGCTGTGCCCCGTGCTCCGTGAGGGGCCACCCAGCCCCCTGGACCACAGCTGCACCTTCCGGGAGGGGGGCGCCCCGTCCCGGGCCAGCTCTGGAGGAGGACGTGGCCAGTGAAGTCAGGGGCGTGGGAGTCTCCAGGTGCCTCCAGGTGCCCCGGCGGGTGTGGCTCTGCATGGGGACTCCTGGAGGGGCCCAGACGGGGAATCGCTTCAGACAGAGAGGAGACTGAGGCCAGAGAGCAGGAAGGGGTCCCCACTGCGTGGGCGGAGGCTTCCCAGATGGACTCAAGCTGGGGCGGGCGCTGGGGAGGGTGGCGGCCGGAGCAGAGGGCTTCGGGCGTCTGCCTGTCACTCCAGCCCGTGGCTCGGAGCTGGCTCCTGCCCTGCGGTCTTGTTCTTCTTTCTCGCACTGCGTCCTCCAGTAGCTCCCCAGGAGGAGCTCTTAGGACTCTCCCAGGCCCAAGCCTGTCCCTTCACCCAGAGCGACCGCAGGCACCCAGCTCACGCCTGGCTGAGGAGAGCAGACCAGGGACCCCTGCGTCCCAACCTGGCCCCGGCCTCCTGTGTCTCCGAGCAGGCCGTGGCCCTGCCCACCGTGACTGGGGTCCATAGGCTGGATCTGAGGTGCGACAACAGCCATACTTGTGAACGGGCAGAGGGGACGATGCGGTTCCGGAGCGTGAGCACAGAGCGGGCACCGGGCAGCCTCCCTGCCCAGCTTGCTTCTGCGCTTCCTAAGGGTCTGGACGCAGCGGGTCCTCGTCAGCCCAGGAAGGAGAGCGGTGCCCCTCAGGGTCCACCGCAGCACGCTGGCCAGCCTTGCACGTGCCCCCTGCACCAGTTCCTGCCTCCCAGCTGGCAGGCAGGGGGCCAGCAGTCCCACAGGTTTTGGGGAGCGCGTGGCTTTTGCTCCATGGCCTACTTGCTGGCGTCACCGGGACAAGAGAACTGTGGTTTCCTTCTGAGCTCCTCTTCCCTAGAGAGCAACACACGTGTGAAGGAGACCTGGCTCCATCCTGTGCCAGGGCCGGTCCGAGCGTGGGCGCCACGGGAGCGGGGCTGCAGGGCGGGGCACGGGCCGACCCCCAGGGAGCCCCACATGCCCACGATTCCCCGTCTCTGTGCCAGGCGCCCCGGGCCGTGTGCAGAGCCTTTGCTTTTAACTCAATAGACTCACAGGCCATCATCACGACCATGGCATCGAGTACCACCTTCCGTTACTGTCCTGTCCTCCGCACACGTCACTTACTCTGTAGACGTGGCTGAGGAAGCGAGTTCCCATTTATTCCGGATTATGTGTGTTATTACTAAGGCTGAACGCCGGGGACAGCATTATACGGCCGCGCAAATGAACTCGCAGTGTGTTGGATGCTGCTAATCCAACGCGACAGATGCTTATCTGGGGAAAGAGGGATGGCCCTTCCTAATGTAATCTGGTGCTACATTAATTTGTTTAGCAAAACAGATTTAAGGGGGGTAAATATGTGTGCCGCAATGTGGAGAGACGTTAATTCTGGGAAGTGACGCCAGACGCTGAGAGGGGACAGCCAGCGGTCCTCGGCTTCCAGGCCCAGGCGAGGGAAGGCAGGCAGTGCTGAGATGGTCCCTCTAACTGGGGAACCATCCCGGGCCAGCTGGTCCTCCACAAGGGACACAGGCCCCCGGGGCGCTGAGAGCCCCTGCAGGCATCCCAGAATCCCTGTGGCTTCGCCCAACATCAGATGCAGACCTGGGCCCTTCACTCTTGTGCACCGTGACTGCTCCTCATGCCCCTCGGGCAGCATTTAATCTGGCGCGGGGGGGGAGGGGCTCGGGGACCATGTGTGAGTGGTTAGCAGTGTGTGACTCTGAGCTCTGCTTCGTGAGTATCGGGTGCATCGTGGGAGCATTCTCATCTCTCTCTGCTTCATTTTCTTCATCAGCAAAATGGAATAAATACCTCTCCTAAGTGGTTGCTGTGAGGAGTCAGTGAATGAACTGAATATAAAATGTTGTGCCTGGCACCTGAGGACCGCCATACGTGCCAGTTGTTTTTATACCCAGCAAGAGTGACTCAGCGAGGAGCATTGCAGGTGTCGATGGCACATAGGCGGCCAGGGACGTGGGAGTCTTGCCATCTCAGCACACCCCGTCCAGGGGCACCCCAAAGTCGAGCTCAGGTTTCAGGAAGCGATAGAAAGAATTCGTGAAATCAGATCTGCTATCCAAGGAGGGATGTTTGGAATCAGATTTTGGGAGCTGTAAAGTTTATGTTTGCTTCTGTAGAGCAATGTTTACAAGGGGCATGTTTTGTTTTCCTGCCTGTCTGGAGCACAGGCATTGGGGGGGGCACTGATGATCTGGGGTACTCTGCAATCCCTCAGGAGCGAACATTACATGGAACACCGGTTGTAACTGTCAAAGGCCCGCCCTCACAGCTCCGCCTGTACTTGAAGTGGCTGGGAATCTCTCCTGGTCCTAATGTAGTGGTTAAGTGTGCCACGGCCTGCCTTCCCATTCCTAGCAACATCCGGTATGAGCTGTCCGAACTGGGGTGACCTGCCTCAGTGGAAATGACAGAATTAACCATCTCATAGTGTTGTAAAGATTAAGTGAGAGAGTACATGCCAGGTGCTCAGTGTACAGCACATACTAGCCGCTCAGTACATGTTTGCTGCTGTTACCACGATAATGATGGCGATGGTAGTGATGACGGTGATGAAGATGGTGGCAATAACAATGGATATGAGGGTGGTGATGGTGATTATGATCATGGTGATGGTGACTATGATGATGGTGATAATGAGGGAGATGGTGATGATGATGGTGATGTTAATGATGGTGATGATGATGGTGGTGATGGTGATGGTGGTGGTAGTGGTGGTGGTGGTGGTGATGGTGATGATGGTGGTGATGGTGATGCTATGATGGTGATGATGATGATGGAGATAATGATAATGATGGTGATGATGATGATGGTGGTGGTAGTGGTGGAGGTGATGATGAGGGTGATGAGGGTGATGATGATGGTGATGATGATAATGATGGAGATGGTGATTATGATGGTGATGGTGATGGTGGTGATGATGATGGTGGTGATGGTGGTGGTGGTGGTGATGATAAATGATGGTGATGCTAATGATGGTGATGATGATGATGGTGGTGATGGTGATGATGATAATGATGGTGATGGTGATGGTGATGATGGTGGTGATGATGATGGTGGTGATGGTGATGGTGATGGTGATGGTGGTGATGATGGTGGTGATGGTGGTGGTGATGATGATAATGATGGTGATGATGATGGTGGTGGTAGTGGTGGAGGTGATGATGAAGGTGATGATGGTGATGATGGAGATGGTGATGATGATGGTGATGATGATAAATGATGGTGATGGTGGTGATGGTGGTGATAGTAATGCTAATGATGGTGATGATGATGATGGTGGCGGTGGTGGTGATGATGAGGGTGATGACGATAGTGGTAATGGTGATGAAGAAGATGATGATGATGATAATGATGGTGGTGATGATGATGATGGTGATGGTGGTGATGGTGATGGTGGTGGTGATGGTGATGGTGGTGATGAGGGTGGTGGTAGTGATGACGGTGATAATAATAATGGTGATAATTATCTTTGTGAGGTTTTGCTGCCACCAGGTTGCTGTTTCATTTGCTGCTTTATTTTGGAGTCACTTGAGGTCCTTCATTGAGGTGCTGTGTCCTCACCCCAGACCATGGTGCTTCCGGCAGAGGTACAGCGCGCACTAGTGCGGAACCGCTTGGGACGGGAAATCCCCTGGCTCCGGTTCTCCCAGGTGCCGGGCTCCGCCCTCACGGTGCTGGCAGAGCGTCAGACGGGTGAGAAGTTCACCTGAGGTGGAGAGGGGACGGCTTCCCAGAGCGACGCGCCCTCCTCCTCTGACAGCTCTCTTGCTGGCCATGTTCTGAGTCTGGAATCACAAAGTCTCCTGGGAGAGAAAGAGAAAGTCATTTCCTGGGCTTCAATCTCAAAGCTCGTAAAAGGAGCTGTGGGGAATTCAAGCAGCTGATTTCCATTACCGCATTTGCCCACGGCGGGCCCTCCCGGGCCGTGGGTGTCTGGCGCGCAGCAGGAGCTGAGCCAAGGCTTCCTGGCCCTGACGTCCCTAGACCCCGCCGGCCGGGCCCCAGGACCCCTGCCTGCTCAGACGCGCCTCGGCACTGTCCCCACGTGCTCACCACGGTGGGGGTGCACCACCCAGGAGGGGCTCGAAGCCCTCGGGTCTCCATCGTCACTCAAGGTTTGCTCCCCTAAGGGTCAGTCACGTCCTTGTGACACCCAGCCACCCTCAGATGTCTTCTCGGCCCTGCCTGGTGGTTTTTACACCGGGACGCGTGTTTCCAAGGATGATTTCCAAGTGTTTTACCCTTGTCAGCAGGGGGCCTTCGGTGTCCTTGAGTTGCATACCTTGCAAGCACGAGGAATGAACGGGCTGCTGTCATCTCTCGCTCCAGCGGTCACCTGACCTAGACAGTGGCACGACCTCAGAAGCAGGTCTCCTGATGATGAAGCCCTTCTGGAGCCCCAGGATTGGGCCTGGAGGCAGGGATTTCAAGCCAAGACGGCGGTTGAAATGCGGAGCCCCTTTTAATTCCTTTGCTGGGTCTCTGCTACCAGGGAAGTGACTCTGTCCTTGGTTTACAGATATTTGAAGCAAATGACGCATGAGCTCCCAAAGGTCGGAGAGGCTTGGTTGGGATAAGAGCGTCCGCGTACCTAAGCGCGTGGAGGTCTGCAAACGTCCTGAACCCTGACGGTGCGAA